TTCCGGCGCTAGCATCCCCCGCGAGATCTGTCTTGGTGTAGGAGCTGTTTAAGGCCTTTCTGAGCCACGTGAATGAATCCCGTGTTTCCTGCCATTCCCTATCACAACTCTACCACTTGCATCCAGCAGCATCTCCAAGAGAGGAAGCGGAGCCGGGCTGGATTTTGGAGCTGCTGCAAACCCTCTGCCTTAGATCTGTCGATGCTTCACCTGGCAAAACCCTCCTTCAGTCCACGTTACGAGGCTTTCAGCCATCCTGCAAACCCTGCTTCCTGCTCTCACAGCTCTCCGCCGCTGCAGAGACACACCCCCGGCCGGCGTGGTAAGAGCCAAAATGTTGGTCTACATGCAAACTCTCTACAGAAACAGCTTTACAAACATGAGAGACGGGTCGGGAGGGCTCCTGCAGGATTTGAACCAGAAGTGCCAACTGCTGCGTCCAGAAGTGACTCTGATTACCCAGGACGAGGTGACTCTCAAGATGAGCGACAGAAACCAGAAGAGCGCGAGAGCGCAGCAGCGTGCTAAGACAATTAAACCCAAGAAACACCTCTGTCAGTGTGGCCGAGAGGTCTAGGATAACCTGAGAAAGAAGAGGAAGAGAAGACAGATCCACCGACAGTAAAACAAAACTCTGACCTTTACCTTCCCTGCCGGGATGAGATTCCTTGCTTAGATTTTGCTTTGGGTTTTGCTGTCCCTGGAAATACTCCAAGCTTCGTTAAGCGAATCAAATCGCTTTGACAAGCAAACTTGCATCAAAAGTGGCGAGTGCAACCTGAGGTGGGCAACAGCTCAGGCCAAAGGGCCTGATGGAGAGGAACCTCCAGAGGAGGAAAGGAAGACAGAGGGCCAAGAGCTTCACAGACTCGGACAAGGTTTGTTTTAAGAGCATCCCTCCCCACCACCAAAATACAAACTTCAATCCGCAAGTATCGCTTGCAAAGGGCCAATGACAGCCTCAGGATGCACACGCAGACACACCTGCACGCTACAGCCGCTTGGCAAGAAAGCGGACGCAACCCCAAGTGCCCTTCAACGTCAAGGCTGGCTTTTACCTACCCTACGAAACTGGAAGCTCTGCAAATCCTTCATTTGCTCTGGCTCAGAAGCAACAGATGCTCCACTACCAAGAGCAGAAGATAATAGCGAAGAAGAGGTAAAAGGCCGGGCAAGTAGAAACACCATGTTGCATTCCCTCCCCTTGGAACAGGCAACTATTCATGATTTAAGGCCACCGTTTTTAAGGTCATCAAGGTTATGTGTAAAGGGGATGATCCTTGGAAATGGAAGGGTTTGTTTGCTAAGATGCACAGCGGAGTTGATAGCAGATGATGAACTGTGGGACTCACATTATTACCGCCTGCTGGGCCGGCTCCTCCTGTCATGTACCTGCCAGGGTGCCTTTCTCCCGGGTCCCAGCAGACACAATTCAGCACCACTTGACTGTAAGGAAGACTGACAGCAGCCCCTCTGCTGCTGGAATAGACGGTACCCTTTCGCTCGAGCAGCTAGAGCGGCCCGTTCAGAGGGCAGCACGTGAACATCTGCAGCTCCCGGTGCGGCACAAGTGACTAGGAACACATGGCCCCCCACCCCTCCACCCCGCTTCCCCCTCTCCCTACCGTTGCACACAAACCAATTTACAGCGATTACACTCCAATCGTGGCAGAGTTTGCTCCAAAACCAATTGCTGGCATCTGGGCAGTTACTGTGATGAGACTAACCTCAATCCCTTTAACCTCAGAGCTCAAGGAGGATTCTTGTGCGAAGGTGCAGTGTCTCAGGTAGCTAGAGCAGTGCGGGGAGCAGATGCCTGGAAGCAGCATGCTGTTAAAAATAAAATACATTGACAGCACGACTAAATGTCACAGCCTCCCAAGAGCTATGTTCTCCTTCGCTGAAAGTGGAGGGGGAGGGAGGGGGACCTTGAAAGAGTGAAAGCGCCAAAGGGAACCACCAAGCATGGAGGTTTAGTGTTAATGTAACTGATACCTGAAAGTGAACCTTTCAAGGTGCTTTCAAAGTGAGGCTCTGCGTGTTCGGATGATTCTGCACCTTGACTGATCGCCAGCTAAGGGATCGAGAAAGCGCTCAATCTGCAGCCGTCCTGCAGGGACAGGCGATCGCACGGCAATGGTTTGGGGCCAGGCTCTGTATAGGATATGCAGTGTAAGAAGCGCCATAGCTGCCCTTAACTCACTTTAAAAAAAACACATCCGTATCCGCCCCCACTCGTCAGGGACTTAGTTAGGGTCAGTCTCTCCGGCTGCGAGTTCGCGGTTAGTTCTGGGTCACACGCACAGGCTGTGACATCATCTGCCCGCAGACTGCGACTGTGGAGCCATAATGACGTGTGACTGCATTGGCATGCTCAGTTCTGTCCTTTGGCTCGCCATCTGGGTGAGGACCGACGTGGCGACTGCTTCCGCCGCCGAGCGCACGCTGAGCCCGTTGGGGGAGGCCGTCACGGAGCTGTGCTGGATGACAGGAGCAGGGGAGCCGGTGGGCTCTGAGCTCTCCTTTGGGCTTTCTGCTTGACCAGAGAGGGAAAAAAAAAAAAAAGAAGAAGAAAAAAGGTTAGACCAAGACTCTGCAGGTTGCTGCTGGCGTTAACAGCAGGGAGGTGGGATGCACGACTCTCTCTATCTCTAAGGAAGTGCAGAGATCAGCTGGGTACTTAACGCTCACCCTAAGCCTTTTCAGCCAAAATAGTCTGGGGACAGAGATACTGACCCCTACGGGAATCACAGCTCACCCCACCAAGCTGGGTCCCCCTTAAGGATGGGCCAGAGCAGCTGTTTGGCAAAAGCTAGTGAGGACTGGACAGAAAACTGATTAGAGTTAGGACATAACGACCCACCAGGTCCGGCTGGCCCTGTCCCTTGGAGAAACATCACCAAATCTTACAGAATCCATGCCAGCAAGGCATAAAGTGCAGGCTTCACCCCAAGGATGGCAGACCCAGCATAACCCTTATTGCAATAAATCTGTTTCCTCATTAGAACAAATGAACTTTCCTACATGTTGTTTCCTGGCACGGTACTTGGTTCAAGGTCATTTAGCCCAGAGACTGAACAGTTCCTTCGGAGGCCATACCATCTGTTGGGTGAGCGCACAGGAAAGCACGCAACAGAAACCCTTCTGCAAAGGCAGTCTAGCAGGTTTTGTCATTTTTTTATATACATTACCTGGTTCACTCTTTATTGTTCTCTAGAACATTGAAATCAATTAGAGCCCATTGCAAACTGTTTGCTCGCTCAATTTCTTTCGGTAACTCAAAGCAGTATGATTGACGGGATGGGAAGAAAACAAAGGCAGAGACCTTCTCCTGTGCTCTCTTCTGAGCGACACAGATTGGTTTCCAAAACTTTGGATTCTCTCCCACAAACAGCACACTGCGCTCAGGCAGACCTTCTAATGCAGAGGATAATTTGTGACCTATCAAACGCCAAGGCAAGAGCAATCAGACCTCTCTCTTTGGGGGTATACACTCATTATCTACAGATGTCAAGAGGAAATTCCCTCCTGTGCACTTGCCTAGATGAATTACGGGTAAGATGCGGTCACCTTCCTTTAAAAGAGTAAAATAATGGCATGAGCTGGGGTACTTCCTCCACGTCAAGAGGGTAAACCCCACGACACCGGAAAAATCAGAGAAGAGGTTTACAAGCTTATTGGGCACAGGCAAATGTATTTCTGGGCTCATTTTTCCACTAAGCACTTGAATACTGCACCTCTTCCCCAAACCGGTTTTACCTTCCCTTGCAAAACCTTGGCTTGGCCTTCGCTAACATATTGAAAGATGCAGCTAGCACAGCAGATTTGAAGACTGACTTGGCGGTGAGAGAGAAGGTCGAACAGAGCAATATAATAGTTTGGCATCCCAAAAAGGAGATTTACAAGGTATTACAAATAAAACAACCCAACTGTACATGAGGCAGCTGTAATTCCATCGAGGGAATCTGGCATTTTTGTTTAAGGACCTGCTTAGTCACAAATCTCAATAATAAAAAAGGCAGCCAGGGAGGAGGGGGCACAGGGAGGGAGGTGTGAATTTCATTTTTATTATTCAGATGTGTGATGAATTCCTATTATTGGAGTAGACAGACTGTGAGGAATAATAATAGGAACTGTAAACTTTGGAAGTTAACAGGAAAAATCATGTCGCCTCTCTGCATTATACACAGAGAGAACACCTGTCTGCAAGGGCTGGGGGACAGCGAGGATTTTCACGACCACATTACTCAAGCTATGAGTCACTGTAATGAGTGAAAATAAACTGGCTATGCCAGGCCCCTGCATAGCACGTACTTGTGCTTCACCGTACAGGAGCAGAGCGCTTCAGAGACGCAGGAGGAGGTGGGAATTGGGAGTCAGTCAGGAAGGACAGGGCCCGCTTTCTTCGCTTTTGATCTTCCCCCCTTCCTTTTCTTATCTCCATCCATCCCTGTCTCTCATCCTGTTAATCTAGGCGACGCTAGGGGACTCCAGCATTCTCCAAAGGGCTTTGCACAGACACCACCGTGTGGAACTGTTATTGCAGAGATGACATAAGAGGCAAGAAGAATGTGGCTGTAACGTTTTGCTCCCGGGTTGATTATAATGAAATAGGCAGTGTTAAAAAAAAAAAAAAAAGAAAAGAAAAGAAAGGAAAGGAAAAAAAAGAAAGACAAGAAGATAAAAAGAAGTCTTCTTACTTCCAGACTCGAGCCAATTTGATGTGAATTGCAGAGAATGAGATACAGAGCCCCATGATGTCATTTATAGAGTCTGGCCTTTTCTGACTCTGGCTTTGCTTTCAGAACAGCAATAGTTTCTAACTTCAAAGAGAATATCAAGTGCTTGGCAGGCTGCCTGGGAGCGCGGGTGGAGAGACGCTGGCCCACACTCCAGGGAGAAGCAGAGATATGGATCTATGTCAAATATTCCACGCTACAGAGACACTACAGGAGACGCACTGCCTCCTTCCCTCATTGCTCCTAGTTGCCCTCACCACCTGAGCGCAAGATCTCATATGCCAGGCTCATGGGATAATACGTTGCACTTAACTCCCTAGCAGGTCTGCACGGGGTGACCCTCCTCAACAGGGACACTTTGGAGGCTGTATCAGCAGAAGACCCACAGGACCAAGGTCTCTCCTGCCTTTCAAGGTGAAGTAGCGGGAGGGAGATGGAGCAGAGGCTACGACAAAGACTAGCTTCCTCTGTGTCTCATGCTTAGACCTCATCTGCTTAGACCTCTCTGAAAGGGTAGCAAGGATGAGCGAAAGTCACCACTCACCAAGATAGCCCTGTGTTTTCTTCTGTAGTGCAGTGACGGGGCAGTCCTTGTGAGCAAGCAGGAGCTGTTTAAGTTGAGCAACTTCGTTCCTCAGTAGCGTAACTTCATTCTGAGATTTAAAAACAAACAAACACACACGTATGTATCACTCATGCTCTTGACAGCAGCCTCTAGCACTGGTAGAACACTAATTTATGTGCCCTGCAAATTTACTAGCCTAAGCTGAAACACTGCTGACCCAGGTACACCTAACACAAAGTTTTTGGGTTTGGGGAATGCAGTGTGCAAGACACAGATTGCAGAATTTCCTCCAGCAGCTCCCACCACTGCCTGGAAAGCCCCTTGCCATGTTAGTCACCTAGTCTTGGACATACATTTGCCTGAGCCTTCCTGTCAATGCCAGCAGTTTGAGTCAGACGCTCCAGCATGCTGTTGGCTCTGACGGAAAACTAAACAAAGGGAGAAGCTCAGTGTACTCCGATCCGCTGAAGGATGCCTCCATCTCAGCATGTGCCGCAGTTTGACCACAAGCAGCAGTGCAGACTACAACTAGATCAGCCCACACCAGGCAGTGTGGAACGTCAGAGCTCTTCCAAGCTTTCGGCACCTCTGTGAGCTGTTTCAAATTTACGGAGAGGATGCCTTGACCTCCAAGTTTAACATTACGTGTTTTACAGGTGAGGAACTGCAGCACAGAGAGAAAAATAACTCACCTATAGAGCCACAGAAGAGCTCTGTAGCCGTCGCTCAGTACTCTGGCTACTTCCCCAGCCACTGGGCCATCCTCTCTCCCACCAAGGCAACCAGCAGTGATCTGTTACCCAACTAGTTATATATTCTCTCTCCTTCTCTTTGTTACTCCCAGACAAAAATGCCTGAGTCTCCAAAGCTTTTTGCCTGAATCTCCAAAGCTTTTCAGGTTAACATTCTGCCGTGAAATCAGTTCCACTCCCCTGAAAACTTCGTGCAGCATATTATTCCTCTACCAAAATGTTTGGAGAAATAGCTGAAACCCAGTCAATTGCATTTCAAAATTGCCCGAGGAAACAGTTTCTATAATTATCTTGGGAAGAGAATAAAAATACCATGATCAGTACTATTGAAAAAATCTCACTGCATGAGTCACTAGCAACCAACGGAAGAAAAAGCTCAGAACGGACACAAGTTCAGTCTTTACAGACCCTTCAATCCTCGGCCAACACTGAGAGCCTTAAAAAGGGGGCTTACTGCAATGGGACTGAAATTACATTCGGTCATCTATATTCTTAGACGTGCAGTGCTTCTGCTAGGCGTATGGAAGGTGCTGCCAGAGAGCCAGGAAATCCCCATTCTCCAGAAAAATCTGTACGGGTATGGGCCACGGCTGCGAGCTGCAGCTGCAGAGCCTCCCCGCTCGCCCCTGTGCCAGGTCCTTGGCGCAGGAAGGGGACTGGGCTTGTTTCTGCTGACCCTGTGCCAGCAGGGAGCTCTCTCCCGACTTAGGGGAGATTTCCACTCTGCAAACACAGCTGCTTCCTGGGGCCTCCAGGCTCTTCTCCTGGTGCTGGTGTTCTTCCATGTGCTACAGTGCTGCCTCAATGGAGCAAAGAGGTAGAGCTCTTCCCCCATGTCCTACTCGAGGCAGGGCTTAGACTTATCCTGAGCAACACGGTGGAAACAAGGGAGCAAAATCTAGGCACACAGGCAGTAATCCTGCTCCAGAGAGCAATATCCAAGTGCACGTTGCCTCTGCAGCACGCGGAAGATCTTCCCTCCGGAGTGACGGTCCTAGTGCAGCCAGGCTGGCAAATGGCTGTGCTCAGCCTCCACGGTTACATACTCACGCTCAGCTGGATGTTCTGGGTCGTGAGCTCCTCAGCTTTCTTCTCCAAGGAAGACACCCAGAGCTTGCGTTTCTGACGGCATCGGGATGCTGCAGCCCGGTTCCGCTCCAGGAACCGCTGCCGGCGCTCGTCCGGGTCTTCGTCAACCGTGCGTCTCCGCCGCCCGCCAGTGCTGGGCGTGGGCTGGGCAGGGGAAACCTGGAGACCAGGCACACGGAAGAGAGGTATGAAGGGGAGGCAGTAACACACATCGATGTAACTGAGTCTCTGCTAAGAACGTCTCCCACTTGGTTTGACAGAGGAGCTGTCAAAGCTTGCTGCTGGGACAAAAACTTCCTTTTGCAGAGCGGCCAGAACGGCATGGTGGAAGGTGAACCAAGGGCAGCCCTGGCTGGGGACAAAGCCCCTTTTACACGTGCTTCTGGCAGCCCTTCCTCTGCTGCATCTAGAGCGCTCTGCAAACTTAAGGTGTGACTCCACGTGAACTCTCTGACATCCTGAACCCACTGATGTGCGAATTGCAGGGGAATTAGTTAAATCCCAACCTCCTGCACAGAGACTTTGAGGGTACAGTCAAGTAACAAGACAGCGGAGGTTTTTTCCCCTTGGTGCTCAGGAGCTAACGTGGTAAATGACCACAGGCGTCCACCACGCCGCGACAATGCAAAGAAAACAGCTCTCCTTTTAATTTCACTTAAGATGCTTTAAATGAGCTTATTTTACTTCGCGCTGCAGTGACTTAGGAGATTCCCACACAGCCAGTCACCACGTGTCAGCTGCAGGGCTGGGAGTGTTCGGTCCTGCTCTGACACACACAACCATGCACGGTCAAATCAGCTACAGTCAAAGCGAACGCGGCCTCCGTTTGGGTTCAGTAACTCACTTGCAGTGCTCAGGAAAATTAGAGTATTTGAGAGGCCAATTTGCTTTAAAAATTAATTTGGGTTAAATTGTCCCTTGAAAGTCTTCAGCTAAACAAGCTCTCAGAGGCAACTGATACAAAGGATTTCATAACCCTGCACATTGCCCGGTTTTATTTCGAGAGAACAAAGGAAACGTCAGCGAGGGCAAATGGTCCTGCAGACACAGCTTTGCCGGCACTTCTGCAAGGGCTCTGTAATTACACTGCCACAATCGGAGAGTGCAGTTACACTTCGGTACTTGCTGTCAGGCAGCATATGGATATTAAACTTTTGGAAGCCTATCTAACTGACGGAGCAGGTGGCGATCCTGATGGAAGGCTGGCATTTGGTTAGCTGGCAGGAACCAGCGGAGTTGATTGCCTAAGAGGGGAGCATTTAACCCCAGTAATTGAGCAGGGAGAAGAGAGCAAAATATTCTTTCTAAACTCCAGACCTTGTCAAGCAAATTAACATGTTGTTGAAGTTTTCTGCCTGGTGTGGTTTGGGAGTGTTAGTACTGAAACCGCACTGAAAAAAACCAAGGTTTTAAACCCACTCCGCAAACCAGGAAGTTGCAAGATTTTCTTCTTCCTTCCCCAAGGCCCAGAACCCCCCAGCACCTCCAGCCCAACCTTGCAGGCTAAGCAGCGGCAGACCTGCGGTTGAGCTGGGGAAGGAGCATCAGGGTGCTGGACAAGAATCTGACTCTGCTCTGGACGTGCAGTCACCATCGTGCTGGCTGAGCCCACCACCAGGTTGCTGCCATTCAGCGAGGAAGATGTCTGATGCGTCAAGCTGGCCTTCAGCCTCTGTCAGAGGAGAAAAGAGGACATCAGGGGACCTGTTCTCTATGTTGTAAAGGCTTTAACCAGCAATTCTGTCATCCACGGAGCCAGGCCCCTGGGGAATGTGCTCTTCAGGGACTGTGGCTGATTCAAATCCAACTGAAAGCCATCACCATCTGGCCTACCGAAAGACAGGCAGCGGCTTCCAACTTAGGCCCAAGCGGACAGGTGTCTGCATCCCAAAATTGCTACAGCAACTGGCACCGATCCGCTCCCCAGCTGGCAGGCTCTGCAGAAAGAGCATGGACTGAACAGGCTTTGGAGCTTGAGCTACCCTTGAGCACCTGGAGAGAGGTCCTTCCAGGACGGAGAAGGGCATATATGGGATCAAGAACATGCCTGGCATGTTCCTTCTCTGGGCAGCCACACGCAAGACTGAGGGATTTTGTCTCATGCCTCAAATGGAGTTTAAGATCTCTCATCCCACTCATAGCTCTAATCTGCCCATGAATCCTGCAGACACCTACCTGGGGTGTGATGGAAGCAGTGACTACGCAGGACACTGCAGCAACAGTGAGCACCACCCCTGTAAGAGGTGTCTGCAAACACCTCTACCTTGTCTCAGGCAAAAAACATGAGGTTTCGCTACTCTTTGCTCTCAGACTAAGGTTTGCTTCCTCTCTCTGCGTGCACCGCTTTGATCCGTGAAAGAGCCAACTGAGAAAAATGCTTTCATAAATCTTTAGCTAAAAGAGTCTACATGAAAATCATTACTAGGATCCTTGGATTACAGCACATCGTCTCTTCTCTTGGCTCTGCCTTCCTCAAGCCCACCTCCAACCCATCTGTTGTCTTGGAACTATAAGCTCCAGCTTTACACAACAGCCGTGTTTAGGATGGGGCTGAGGTTTATCTTGACAATAGCATGCCTGCTCTGCCTGCCAGAGCTGCAGCGTCGATTAGTCTGATATTCCTGGTGGCATTTATAACACCTGCTCTCAGTGCAGGAAGGCGCTGCGATGGCTGCGCGGGATTTTGGAGAAGCAGTGTCTCTTGCAGAAGCCACAGAGAAGTCGACTCCAGCCAGAGTCTTTTCTGGAGGAGCTGGCAAAGACTTAAGGACAATGCTGTGGATGTGACACCTCCCCTCTCCAGGCATGTGTTTGGACACTTACCATTTTGGCTTCGGAGTGCACTGGAAGGCCTGACGGCGAAATGGACCCGCTGCTGTTGATGGGTGGCCCAGGAATACCGGGAATGTTAGGCACCATGGACATCGGCCGAGCCAGCTAACGGGGAGAAACCAACACATGGGTTTTGGAAGCTGAGGTGCTACTTTCGCAAGCGCTTTCCACAAAGCAGCTCTAGAATAATTCCCTGGCCGTTTATAAATCCTGACAAACACTCAGCATTTAACTGCTGCCATCAATTACGTCTGCTGTCACTGAACCCCCCTTGGGCGGCCACAGAGGCTGCTTAAAAAAACCCCAGCCATACCAACCAATTACTCAGGATGGGAAGAAGAGCAGCCCAAAAGACTTCCTCCATTCTCTCCCTCCCAGAAGGCTTTTGCCCACCAGTACAGGAGGAGAGGGCAGATGCAAAACCCCTTCCTGGGTTCTCTGCCCAGCTCTGTTGCAGAGGTGCAGCAACGCCAAGGGTAAGTTACAGCATTCCCTTCTAGAAAGGGAATTCCCTTCTTTGGCCACTACTCACTCAAAACCCAAAAGACATGCCCAGCAGGACAGACAGGATTCTCACAGGTTGCCTGGTCAGGAGCTGAAGCACTCAGAAGACGTACAAGCCACCCACCAGGCAAATCTGCTTGTGAATTCTGTACCATGGAAAATTCCCTGCATGCAAAAGCACAAGCTGCAACGCTAATATTCAAACAGCTCTTTAGCACGCTGGCGAGGTTAGGGTGGCTTTCCTGGCCTGCAAAGACCAACATGTTCTCTGCAAGCTCGAATGGTTTCAATTGAAGCACGCTGTTCCAAATGGAAGCAGCTAATCAGGGATCCTACAGTTCCCAGCCCTGGATCAATGGCATGAGCCATCTGTCCAGGCAAAGCTTTGTTTTTTTCCACACTTATTGCCCTCTAGTGTGATCGACATGTTATTACTACCTTGCCAGAGCTGGCCCCCGTCTTCCTCCTATTCCAGTCTTATCTTGCACAGAGGGGGGAGATGTATTTTAATTTTTACAAAATGGAAGTGTCTCCATATATTTGGCAAGGGAAAATGCTGTCCTCTCCTCTGCCACGCAGAGCTGTGTTGGAAGTTTCTCTTACCGATATAACAGAAGGCATCTGTACAGGAGGGCCTGGGAGGACAGGCATGGTCTGTCCATTTGCAAGCTGCACAACAAGTGGAAGGGAACCAGTGGGAGACCTGGAGAAACAATTCAAATTCTCATGGATTATTTCAAGTTTATGCTCTCCCAGCAGCCCTGTGAGCGGATTATTTCAAGTTTATACCATCCCGGCAGCCCTGTGAGCTCAAGGGCAGAAGCACGAGTTAACTCTGGTTAGTGAATTTGGGCCAATTTTCAAGTTTCTGGGGCCAGAGTGAGTACTTTTACCATGTTCTGAATTGGCTGGTGTAAAGCCCAGATGAGCACGTGTTAAAGTAACAACCTACAGCACGCTCACTGCACACCAGCTAGCACGTGCCGTCACATCTCGGCGACACAGACTGCCGTTACTCGCTTGGGGCTGGCAGTGATGCTGATAACAAGTGTTAAGGTGGGCCCTGTTTATCTCCTGAGCGGATGCTGGCTGGCCAAAACACTAATGCTGCTAAAGCACAGAGACATGATGCCCACCATGATGCTACTGCTGGGGTCAGGGTCTGCCGGGGCTGCTGAAACTCCTCCAAAGAGAGCTTTAAAAGTGCCCCCGTGGGCTCTCCGGTGGCGCGTGCTGGCTGCTGCTCCACCGGCACTGGGCAGACAGGGGATCTGGGCAGCAGCTCCTGCTTACCGGAAACTTCCCGACCCATGAGAAGCGTTTGGTGAACTCCCATGAGAGGGTTTGCAAGAATTTAGCTTTCCATTAACAAGCGCTTCTAACTCTCACGGCTCCGGAGAAAACCTCCTAAATATGGAGCTGATGCAGGGCTGGCTTATGTCTGCCTGAAACGATGGCTCTGGGCAAGGCGAATGGCCCCATTCACTGCAGGCTGGGGGAGGAGGCCGTCGTGCTGGAGTCTAATTGTGACAAATTAAAAATACCAAGCACTTTTTCCATTGCAGATCATTTTGCAGCGAAAGGCGGCGGGCGGTCCTGCGGGCAGTGACAAACAGGCACGTACGCCACTGCCTCCATTTCAGATCGCCGCAAGCCCACTTGCGCTATCCTCCCTCTGGCTGCCACCCTCCAGGCTCACCCTGTCCGGGAAAGCTCAGGAAAAGCAGAGCTGATCCACTCTAGCCAAAGTGGGAGAAGAAGGAAACCTTCCCTGCTTCTGCTGTTCCTCCTCAGTTCACGACAACTCAGCGGGAAGCCAAAGAGAGGCAGAGAAGAGCTGGGAGCAGAAGAGCAGAGCTGCTGGGAGCTTGACTCTGGGGGAGTCGAGATAAAAACCTGATGCTGCCTCCTCTGACGAGCCCGGAGAAAGGCAGGGACGAGGCTCTGCTGTCCAAGATCCTCGGAGCCATGCCAGGCGGCTGGCCCGGAGTAACGGCAGGGTGGGGAGACGCAGGGAACGCAGGTCAGAGGGGGGAAGTTCGCAGCACCAATAACTCAGGCTGGAATTTTTAAGGCTGCCTTGGGAACGCGAACGTTCGACTCTCATTCATTTCTACTGGGCATCCCAAATCCTCCAGGCTGCTTTGAAAATCCCAGCCTAACAAGCCGAGCTACAGGGAGGTCACAGCCTCCCCTCCCTCTCTGTCATGCTGACAGCCCCACCACTTCCACTGTGGCCCTAACACAGGGACCCTGGTTAAAACTGCAACCCGCCCTCTGTGCAGACTGCGTTCGACTCTCGTGCTCTAGGAGGGATCTATCACCTTGGGCTGCAAAGGGCACACGAAATCGTATTAAAGGCTACCTTACTCCACTTCTGATTTTCTCCTTTCTCCAAGCGAGAGGGAGTCGGTTCCAAGGAACAACCTGCTAGTCTGCCTGCTCTGGGTTACCAAAAGGAATACAATGCCCTTTCAAAACCCCGAGACAATCACTTAACCCCTTAATGCCTCAAGACAGGATTTAAAACTTTCCGTCAGGAAGTCTGGATTGATGGTGCCAGAGGGTCAAAGCAAAAACACACACAAAAATATGAACTGACAGTCAAAAAAAAAATGGCCTGGTTAATGTAAAGAGCCAGCCTCAAACAAGGGTAATTAGAAAGAGGCCAGCACCATGGAAAAATGAAGCATCCTGACACCAAAGAATAGAAGTGGGGCTAAATATACGTCTCCTGAGGGCCCATTGTAATGGGTTTCCTGCATCCTTCAGACTCCTTCCTTTTATGTGCAGGGCTGCAGCTACCTAACAGTGTACCAGGCTCATAACCACTGCACCGAGTACTCTCAAGTCTCCGATCCAGATTGTTAAAGGGGCAAAAAGGAGCAGGTCATCAGATCTGCTGCAACAAACAGCTCCCGAGGCAGAAGCTGACCATGAAGGAGGCCAGCAGGTTGGAGAAGAGGTTACACTTCAGAGGCAACAGCTGTCTGAGAAAATCCCAAAGCCATTAAAGATCCAGACAATTTCCTACCGACGGCTTAGCTGAGCTCTCTCCTCCGCATCAGGCTGCAAAAGCAACTCCGAGTCCCCAGTCAGGCCATGCTCCCATCACAGACAGCGAGCATCTTGTCATTGTGTTTGGGGACTAGGCTTAATGTCTCCCCGTGGCGCGTTCCACCTCGTTTTGTTACGCTACAACAATTAGTTCCTGCTTTCTGCACTTACACCCCATTCTGCTTTTTTAGACTGTGCTGCAATGAGGCCCTTATGCCCAAGCAGCCGCAGCGGGAATCGCAGCACCTCAGTCGTTCTGACAATCAAGTTAACTTATTTAGGTACCTAATTACTGCCCAGGAACCCTGACGGCTTGAGAATAAAACCTCAGTGTATGTCTCCCTTTTCTGTACTTACCCAAGCTGTCTGTTGGAAGGTGGTGCCTGGGTAATGACAGAGGTCGGGGAAGGCAGCGTTGGGTGGAGCGGGTCATAACCTAAGTGTAATGGCAGTGAGCCTGGACGCACGATGGTCGGAGTAGGCGTAGAAATGATTACAGGCTTTGAGGTGATCTCCTAAACACAGACAAAAGGACACACGCGGTTACTCACTAGCCTAATAATCACCTGGCTGTCTCTTCCAGCCTCCTTCCAGTGGCTTAAAAGCAATTTAGGAAAAATGGAAGCAACCTGGCAACACTGTGAAATAGAAACTGAGGCACTGAGTGGGGAGATTTACCCCAAAATCACATTGATTTGATGTCAGTGCAAGGAACAGGGCAGGGCACAGCAATTCAGACTCCTGCTGCCTACAGCAACTACTGGGAAATAATCCCCCTCTCCAAATCGCTGCTCTGGCCCCAGCTAATGACTCTACAGTGGGAAGTTATTCAGATGGAGCCTGTGTCACCTAGACTAATCTCCTGCTCTGAATCACCCAGCCAACCCCCTAGGACACAAGGAGCCAGGCTCCAAGAAGATGCTTTACTCGTTTGGCACTTTTACCCTGCCAGAAGAGCATTCGCAGTGTTACCTCAGGGTAAATAGCAAGGCTTTCTTCATTAGCCAAATCCATGCGGACATTTAAGCACAGCAAATGTGTATTTGAGGAGCAGGGGGAGAAGGGAGGGAGCAAGCTTTTCTCTTTCTTTCCAAAATAAGACGGGAACCTCACAACCTCAAAGCAAGCCTTGGCGCACAAGCGGAGAAAAAACTTTTCACTTTCATCCAGTGAAGGAGAGACCAACACCTCCACAGGGCACCGTCCCAGAGACTTACCTTCTCCTTGTTTTGTGGGGACTGCGGGTTAGACACCGGGCTGTCTGGAGGGGAAGAGTCCACCTCAACTGGCTCTTCTTCCTTTATTTTTATGTCTGGGGTTGAAGGCAGAGACATGTCCAGGGCTCCAGCGTTCTACAGGAAAACCAGGCACGGAGCGAAGCGACAATTAGCTCATATTGTTTGCGAAACATTCGGCTGTTCCCAGAGGAAGAGCCACAGCTCTGAGCTCTTGCCAAATTATTATGATTTATTTGGGCTGACGTAGCATCTGGGAGCCCGAGGCAGAGCGCCTCGCCGCGCTGGCCCCGTCCAGAGACGAAGGCCTAGCAAAGACGGTCTCTGCCCCAGATGGCACCATTTTGTGGTTTCGCAGTAACACACATACACAATTCTTTCCATTGGCGCTTTTTTTTTTTTCATAAAAGGGCTCTTGCTAAGGAGAACAGGTAACTAAGCCAAATGCCTGCGAGTTACAGAAGGCACTTTCATTCAGAGAAGAGCTGTAAAGCATTGTATAAATCAGCCCGAATTATTTTATTACCCGATTATCAAAAGCAAACAAAGAGCCATGCAAGTTATTAAATATCTATGAGCGCCCCATTAAAATAAAATCCAACCATATGCCTGAACCTGGCAACTTGCCACCACCCGGGGATCCAGCAGTGCCACGTGCCCCATTTTAACCAGTTAATGACTTGCTGGTTCCCCCCACGGTCCCCAGTAGGGAGTGGGGAAGTAACCCAGGCCATAGGCACCCGGCGGGCAGGGCGAGCTGGGGAGCGTGCGGGGCCAAGCCAGTGGCAACGCATCTTCGGAAGTCAACAAGATACTCAAGTGGAGGCTCTAGCATTGTGCGTGGCAGCTAAGGACCTACAAGCAGGTCTGGGGAACCCTTGGGTCCCATAAATCCCTGGCTGGGCAGGGGAGGAGAGCAGGGTGATGCACAGCGGGGAATCAGCTCAGCGGCCACCTCTCTCCTCCGTAGACCTGGAGGAGCAGAAGACCTGAGAGAAGATGGCGTCTGCGAGCGGCGGAGAAGCAAGTTATCGAGTGAGGCCACGCCAGCAGGATGCTGCATTCAATTGGGCTGGAGCAGATCTTGCAAATCACCCTCCGTCCATCCGGGGCAGGGGGAACTCTACCTAAATCAGGCCTGACAGCTGCTTGTCCAGCCTGTGCTCCCTCCCTCTGCGGTCAATCCCAGAGCTCGGCTCACCAGATTGCTGAAAAAATCTCCTTGGCATCTAAGCTAACACCCCTCTGCTGCAATTTAAGCTCTTTCAAGGGAGGAAGATTCGCAGCGAGAGGGTGAATATGGGCACCTATGGATCCTCTCGCCGCTCTTCAGCGGGGTGCAGCTCCAGCGCCTCCGCTCTCGCTGATTTATGCAGGAGCTTTGCTTGCGGCACAAGCAGTAACCATTTACCTGCCCTCTTAAGCAGAGATGTTGCACTGGGAATCACAAAGGAGAAGGGATTAACATTCAGGAAAGTTTCAAGCCACTTAAAGGGCCTCTGGGGAAGGCCCTGCTGTGCCTGTGTTTTTAATTAACATGCTGGTGTCGAGACCACCCTTGGAACCGGAGGACAAAACACAACGGCAGCGACCGGGCTCAACACGGCCAAATGTTCAAAGCATCTCAGCAACGCACCAGGCAGCTTTGGCCAGGTTCACTGAGTGACGAGCCATCTGGGCCCGGGGACTGAGCGTGTGCAGAGATTTTCTAAGAGGCATAATGCTTTCCCT